CCTTCTTCGCTCAAGCTACACGGGATGTTTACAGCAGCACGCATCTCTTCATCTTAATTGTCTTTTATTAGTTTACATGTGTACAATGAATCAACGTATAGCTGTTATTGACCCTCAATTATGGACACAGACGCGAGTAATATCATATTTATTTTTTACTTTCTTCATAGCTCAGAATTTACGATTCAAGGGTAAGTGAAAGTCAAACTCCATCTGTTGTTCGTGACGAGTATCACGCCACTGCAAAAAAATCTCGTTTTGTTTCAGAGGGTAAGGAAACCAGTGTTCGGAGTTTTCGTTCCAAGTAAACTGCCCATTTTGAGGTTACTTTCTCCCGTTTGAAGGCGATAATGTTGATAACTTATATCAACCAAGATTGAACTGAGTTAGAGGATTACGCCTTTTCTTTATCGCACTTTCTCAGATATTCCTAACCTGTATCTCTGATTGCAGACAAACAAACACCGACAGTATACTATGAATATGTGCACGGTCATTGTTTTAACTTCAAGAGTTGATTTTCGTTCCTTGGCTAAATTAATATAGAGAGTCGGTACTGAGAATCGAGGGATCAGATTTGTCACAACTACAGCTACCTTCTGATTGTTTTGGAACTGATTGATTTCGGCAATAATACCGCTACCGCAAATGGGAATTCTAATTATTGTTATTGACGAGTTTTTTTCCAGACAAATCCCAGGGCTTATCTAAGCTTTCAGCGAAAGGTGAGAATAATTATCTTTGGGAACCAATCAATTAATCAACTTTATTTAGACGGTGACACATGACAGTATGAACTGATAAAATAGTGGCCCTCTGTGCTAAAAATTTACGAGTAATTAACGAGTAACGAGCTTTAATAAGTAGCGTGGTTTTCTCTTCGATTATTTTCCATCGTCTTGCCCGAAGTTCATAATGCCCGAATACGTGAGTGTTGAAATCGGTAACTAGCGAACAGAAAATTTTTAAAAGGGCTCTCTTCAGAGCCATCACAAAAACAAAATTTTTTGTTCGCTTTGATTCTTTTGTCATTGTTTTGCTGATGGAAATTAGGAATGGAAATAATATCCATGTCGTGGATTTTAACCGATTTATGGCTTTTTCAAAGCAATACCTGGATCCCCCAGATCATATAACGTCAAGTGTGTTTTGGCAAGGCAAACGTGAGAGAGAGTAGCCGAGAAGCTTTGAAACCGTTTGGAATGTTTTCTCCCAAGCACTGTTGCCCGAATCATGAGCGTTTTGCCTGAAAAATTTCAAAACTTTCCGTAACTTCCTCCCCCCCGCCCCCCAGCTCGTACGCTTTTGGGCCAGCCGCCCAAACCTGGGACTTTTGTATGTGACTCGAGTGACTGCTCTGGTCTTTGAAAGGTTGCACTGTGTTATGCGTGCTTTTAAGGTCGTTATCATTAGTGGTCAAGCTGCCGGGTCTAGCTCTAAGTTCTGAAGCTAACATGAAGGAGACTGATTTCATTTAATAATAAAATTTATTGGATAAATCTTGTTAACAACACAGGATTGCTTTATCACACAATATTGTTTGAGTCTATAACAGTTTAGCCACAAGATGGGTCATACAGTTGTTATCTTGTTCAATGCTAACATCTCATCAGCTATTTAAACAATTTGAATGAATTAAAATTAATTTATAAAAACTAAAAATATAAAGACAAACAATCAGTAAAATAGCAATATCTTAGACAAAGGTGGCCAAGAAAAAATGTTTATGGGCATGTGATGTCACAGCTAACTTCATGATTGTAGTAACTATGAAGGGAGTCACAGTTAACGATATGGCTGAGAGGATAATAGCGACGTTTGTCCCAGTTGTAACCGCCCTCAGGGTTTGGAAATCGTGCATTTCAGTTTCCAGACTATTTAAAGAACACTGCGGTAACTCGCAGGAAGAAATCTTGGGCACCTTCATGGAAGCCCATGTCTATATAGGGCGCAAGTATAACAAGAGTACACTGAGGGGAAATGTTCTAAGCGCTTAATTTAGATAGCAGAGGCGTCTTCGAAGATTTAGGTATATTTTTTGGGTACATTTCGTAAATGAAATATTTGTTCAGTCGACCAAGTGTTGCTGCTGAGAAACACTGACCTCCAAAACTATCAGTAGGTTTATCTGTAATATTTGCTCTTCTTTATATCCTTATCGTAAATAAGTTCCGCATTTTACTTAGAATTATAAACTTATCGTAATCTACTGGAAATGTCATGAGTTAAAACTGTGTGCATCTTAAATGTAGAACAATTACAAATTCATAAATGTTGACATAGAAAAGAATTTCACGGTCCAGTATCTTATTAAGCTTCATTAATATCACTGTTCTTAGATGCGAAGTAGCGTATTGTCAGCCAACACCTTTATTTACCTATATTTTGAGCAATTTCCTTGAACTTATCTTGAACGGAAGATCTAAACGTTCAGCAATTTCCTTTACGGGTGTTGGTGTTGACGAGACTTGTCTTAGTTGTTTATTTTGCTGTAAACCTTAAAGTTCACCTGCCACACCATAAGCATATAGAAGCACGATTTGCCCTGAGTTATTTTTGAGCTATGTACTACGAGGTTTAATCAACAATAAAGAAGACAAGAGAGTTCCAGATCTTTGAGAGTCCTTGCTGAGTCCTTGCTGAGTCCTTGCTTGAATGGTTTGAACGCTTGGCCGTTCAAGCCAAACCGTTTTTTTTTTCCAGGCTTTATCGCAATGTGTATTTAACTGTGATGGTCTCTCTTCTAACTCTTTGTATTTAAACGCAGATCAAAAGTATGAATGTCACATATTCTATTTCATGGAATGTTCAGTTGTCTATTTAGGATCACAACGGATTTGTCAATACAATTAATGCAAATCCTGGTTGAGTTGTTTGCTTTTAAAGGAAGGCTTAAGGGTCAGGAACATGACTTCCTTAAGTTTCTGTGAAAACAAATATTACACCAATACAGGTAATAGCACTCAATTCTCGGAAAAGTGTTCCCAGTTTCCCAAATCCACAAAGCTACGCGAGGAAAAGGTCGGGGGCAGCTCATGCATAAATTAAATCAAATCAACCAGTCATGTGATCCGGCTTTACGTCGCCTGAGTATCCCCTGACAAGTGAGCTCAAGTAATTCAATGGCGCCTTTTGAATTTTAAATTTGTTGCTAGAGGAAAGTGTCGAGTGATATGGTAAGCCGTTACTTCCAAAAGCCATTCGAGTTTTAAATCTTGGTCCAACCGACTTTTAGCCTTGGCGAGTCGCAAATCTTAAATGGTGAGCTTTGACCATGTATGGGTGAATTTAATATAGCGATGGTTGAGTTTTTTGGGGGAAGCTTCAGTTCTCGCTAGCGAGTTTTCAATTTCTCGCTAACGAGTTTTCAATTTCTCGTTAGCGAGTTTTTAATTTCTCGCTAGCGAGTTTCCAATTTCTCGCTGGCGAGTTTTTAATTCCTAGCTAGCGAGTTTCCAATTTCTCGCTAGGAGTTTCCAATTTCTCGCTAGGGAGTTTTCAATTTCTTGCTAACGAGTGTTCAGTTTCTCACTAGCGAGTTTCCAATTTCTCACTAGCGAGTTTTAGCCAGGCCTCTCTCCCAGGCCTTCACATAGAAGGCGATTAATTAGTCCTGGGGATTAGGTTGCGATCATTCAATATGGCTGATGTTCAAATCTCAACCAGCGAAAGACAAGAAGACCTTGTGAGATTTTTTGCTGGTTTTAATGACCTTTTAGAACAGTTAGATTCCGATGATGACAATTTTGTGACTGAATACCTGGAAAGGAAACTGGAATTCGGTGCTTTATCACTTTTTGCTTTGCCTTTCTCGCGAGTGTTTTGACCAGCCCTTGAATTATTGAAATTATACGATAACCTGAAGCGCGGAGTCAGCGTAGAATTTGTGCTGTTACTTGGTCTTTGCTGAGCAGCTGTGGAAGTACTAGTAGTGATGATATTGCTAACAGTGCAAGTAAAGCAAGCATTACTGGCACAAATGCTGGGATAGGGCTGTGCTGTGCTTCTCCTGAAAATTCGCGACCCTTCACCTTCGACAGAAACTGTTCGTTCGTTGCTCATGGTTCCACCGTTCGTCTGAGGTGGATTTGGCTGGCTGTTTTCTAGCTCGCTGCCCAATCTACCAATGTTATCAAGGATCTGTCTTACGACAGGATTCACAATTTTTAGCTTACAGTAAGCTTCTCTTGCTTCACTTTCGCTTCAATCGAAAACCTGACACCTCGAGGGTTCGGGGGAGAAGGCGGGAAAATGTCCCACAGTTCCCTGCGCTCCCACCCGTAAACTGTTGAAAACTCACTAGCGACAAAATTGAAAACTTGCTAGCGAGAAATTTGATGGTCTTTAAAAACTCACTAGTAAGAAATTGTTAACTCGCTAGCGAGAAATTTAAAACTCGCTCGCAAGAAATTAAAAACTCGTTCGCAAGAAATTGAAAACTCGCAAGCGAGAAATTGTTAACTCATAGCGAGAAATTGGAAACTCGCAGGTAGGAATAAAAAACTCGCTAGCGAGAAATTAAAAACTCGCTAACGAGAAATTGAAAACTCGCTAGCGAGAAATTGAAAACTCGCTAGCGAGAACTGAAGCTTCCCCCAAAAAACTCAGCCATCGCGATATTAAATTCACCCATTCATGGTCCAAGCTCACCATTTAAGATTTGCAACTCGCCAAGGCTAAAAGCCGGTTGGACCAAGATTTAAAACTCGAATGGCTTTTGGCAGTAACGGCTTGCCATAGAGTGAACTCTATGTAACGCAGACCACCATGACCACCATGTCAATTCACCCTTTAATTTTGGTGCTGTAATTTTGCTGTTTTCGTCCAAATCTTAAATATATTTTACACTTTTTTTCTAATAGAATTATTCTGGAAGTGAAGCATCAATTGCAAGATTAACAAGTCTATCAACCATCTTTGTTATTTAAAGGGCATGGAGGAAGGGTAGGTGCGGAGGGGTTATGGCCAGTTCATATTTGGTCGTCAGTCCACCGATGCGCTTTTGTGAGAAATAACTTTAATGACTCAAATGGGCTGTGAACATACTTGAACCACTTAAATTGTTACACTGAGACGTGCCGTAGGAAACCATCACGGCTTCAACAAATTGAGGCTACATAACTGGAAATACAGTCTTGACTAAAATTCTGTTCAAAAAATAGAAAAAGCATTAAATTGTTCACTACTGATAGGTGTAGATACAATATCAACAATTCTGTATTGACATCTATGCTAAATTACGTATACTTTAGCCAATTCACTTGGACATTGGAAGTTATGTCAACAATCTGCAGTCATTATAGATAAGAATAACTTCAAAAAATTGCTATAAATATAATCTATGGCTATATTGAGAAAACTGACTCATAAAATCCTTCTTGTTGTTATCTATAGTATTATAGAAAGGTATATCAGGTTATTCTACCTTCTTCAGTAGAGGTTTTTGCACACAATATAAAATGTTCCATTATACTTCCGAGTAAAATGGTGTACAAACACAATCTCGAGGATTCGGACTTCACAAGTAACTCTATAACCATTACAACTAACTACGGCGACTTGCCGGTGCTAAATATATGATTGCTGCAATTTGAAAGTCAATTAACACGATTTATTTAAACTCTGATAAAGTCGAGGAAAGTAACTGTCTTAATTTTCTACTTAATTGCAGTCGATACTCCGCTAACAAAATGAATCATTTTGGTTCTTATTCTTGGTGACAAAAGGGTCAAGAGGGATGAAGTTGCGCCAGGAACACAACGATGTAATAAATGTTTAGTGTCAAATATAGGAAAAATAAGCACAAAATATCTTACTGATAAAATGTCCGACAGTCCAGCTGAGTGAGGTACTTTAAAAGCTAAACGATAATTTGATTTTCTCTTCTTTTTTCTAGAAGTCTCACTTCGTCTTATTCGTTGTAATAGTTTGTATAGATTGCTTGATGGTTTTAACGTCAATCATTAGACGTATCGCAAGGCAAACAGCAGTTATGATAAACAACACCCAAAAGGTTATCTTAAGGTACTTCATTAATAAACGACGATCCTGTTCGTTTCCTCGTCCGTTTGTGTAATCCTTCACCAACCTGATTCCTTTTCTCTGGCATATTTTTTCAACATTTTCGGCAATTACTGGTCTTCCCACGAAGTAACAGCGAGACTTCTTGTTAGCGGACTTAAGAGCTTTCTCGAAATCTATTCGCCCATTGATAAGCTGAATCTGTGTTTCTGCCTGGATATCATCTTCGCGTTCTTCGAGATCGTCTCCTTCTTCCGCCGCACCGGTGACATAAAATTGGAAATTTACTGTTGCAGTGTTCTTCTCTTTGATCTTCTTCAGGAGTTCGCCGATAGTTTTCCTCAAAAAATAGTAAAACGCTTTACATCGAACTGAGCAGAAGATGTCAATTTTAATCTTTCTGCATGTTTGGCTTCCGTGCTCAGATAATTCTGATTTGTGGGCCAGGCAGCTGAGGACATCCAAGATATAACCACAGCCAGATCCTGTCGCGAAGAGAACATAGTGCGATGGCGACTGTCCATCTGTCACGTCTACCATCTGTTTATACAACTTCCAAACGGATGAACGATACGGTCCCCACACGTGGAAATTTG